TTAACCCCCGGCGTAAAAATCAATACGGCCTGAACAGCTTTTCAGAGTAAACCAGCTGAGCGAACTGTTTAGGGAGGAAGTTACTCAAATGTCCTGAGTGCTGACTCAATGGTTCGATGACCCCGGTAGACTAGATCCGTCACTGATGAAATTTACTTGTCTCTCTCTGTCCCCACAAAGAAATAAAGCTTTATGTTAAAAAAGTTACTCAATTTCCAATTTTAAAATGAAAAATAAAGCAATTCAGCTTTTCTTTTTTTGTGTGACTGTAACCAGAAAATTAGATGGTTTTGTGGAATTTAATTGAATTATGCCTATTTTATGGATAAACCAAACAAGGTTAAACTGATTAGTCAAATTTAACTTAAGCCCAGATATCAGACATAAAAAACAGAAAATAAAGAAACTACAAACGTAACAAAATAATAAGGAAAGAATGTGGAATTCCTAACGGTAAATGGCCCGTTTTTGTATAGCGCCGTCTTAAGCCTAAATTATACTTCTCCGTCTGCGACATGCAACGCCATTATGCGACGAAGCAAGGGCTCTCCGACAGGCTCTCCGACGGGCTCACAGAGGGTCACGGAGACATGCCCAAAAATTTAAACATCCGTCAAAAATATCAGAGACCGCAATTTTTGGATTGGTCAGGACGCCGCTTCCTGTAAATTCCACCAGCACTGCCGTAGCCTCGTTAAAAAGTAAAAAGATATTTAGCGGCAGACCAGAACAGGTTGAAGAACACATCGCAGAAAAAGTCAGAAATTATGAACGTTTTTTCACCCATGACTGATAGAGTACAAAATTATGAGCAAACATGGACGGCAATGGCTGGAAACGTGGGTTTAAAGGTGGCGACCACATGAAGAGGTGGAGGAGAATAAAGGGAAAACTTGTCTGTGTTAAAAAGTCTCTGAAATATATAAACACTGTTAAATACACTATCGTGGACCAGATACATGAGTGTTATGGTGGCAGGATACCACAGAAAAGCGCTACGTTGTCCTGCGGGTGAATTTCGCTGTCGGCGCAGAAGTTCGCATGTGAAAACCTTTCCGACACTCCGTGTGCGTCTGTCCATTGCGGAGCTCACGAAAAAGTATAAATCAGGCTTTGGGGTTCTACAACCCCCCAAGGCGCTTCACAACCCATTCAGTCCCTCCGACCACCACCAGCAGGCAAGGTGGGTTAAGTGTCAATAGCAGAATTCTCTGTCGGGATTGAACCTACAACCTTCTGAAAACTGGACAACCCGCTCTACCTCCTGAGCTACTGCTGCCCCTTCACATAGCAGAGCTGATACTAATTCGCTGGTTTCGGCACACAATAGTTGATATGTCTGCTTTCCTGGTTTTATTTCTACAACCTGAGAAACTAGAGTCTCAGTTTCAGCAAAAGATCTGCCTGAAACATGGGAATATGGTGGTTGTTTTGCATCATTTTAAGGTAATTCTTTGAATATTCTAAAATAAAAGCATAATTAATAAATACATTTCTGTCAAAAAAAAACGTGTTTTCTTACCATAAAGATAAAAACCAGATTAAATTTGAGCTAATTGGTCACTTTATGGAATGCTTTGGTTGATTTTAGACATGTGTCTTTTCCTTACACAACACTTTTTTAATCCCAATATAGATTATTTCAGCTACGAATCACATGGCTAATGCACTCTGCAAGGGGTGAATGAAAGTGCGACAGATGAGTAATCAATGTGTGGAAACTCATCAGTCTGTGTCGTCATTTAAAGGTGAAAGCACCTGATGGTGGTGAAAAGTACAGCAGCCTTGAATGTGTGTGTGTGTGTGTGTGTGTGTGTGTGTGTGTGTGTGTGTGTGTGTGTGTGTGTGTTAGAGATAATCTTAGAACTAAATCCTCTGGTTTATCTGGAACCGTTAGAGGAGACAACACCCACCACCTCACAACACTGAGACATTCAGATGAGTACATTAGAGGGCTTCGAAGTGTTTTAAGATCTGTATCGATGCAGCAATCGGACCCACCAGCTGGGAACGGCACAGATGCTGTTGACATAAAGGAGTTACTGGATAATTTATGGAAGGTTTTTATTCCAAGGTCAACATGCCACACACACACATACATACAGACGAATCAGGGAATTATTTACCTCCCAAAGCTACATGTCACTACATCAGTTACTTATTTGGTCAAAAAAAAAAAAACACTCAAAAACCATAAATATATGACAGAACAAAACTATCCTTCAGATTTGGACACTATAGGAGCAGTTCCTGTTTCCAGCTGTTTGTTTAAGAAGTTTAATGATTACCTATTTACAGATTTGTGGCTCATATTTTGTCTGATGATTTACAGGGTGTTTAAGTAAGTCTCTGTTCTCAGTCTGATGAGATGATGTAGGTGAAAGCCAGTGTTTAAATGACGAACAAGGGTTGGGCGCCACCCGGGCGGTAAGTCGTCAAGTATTTACCGCCCGATGAGAAAATTTAGCGCCAGTGGCGCTCGGGCGCTTTAAAGGTCCACCCCTGCTGTCATTGTTGTGCCTTCGTCAGGTAAAAACTCTGCACTGCATTTGAATTTAAATCTGCCTTTGCTATTGGCTAATTGGTACACTATGATGTATGATGATGTTGGCTGGTACCATATGATGTCACAATGTCATTGTGAGCTTGTGTGTGTGTATTTGTTAGCGGCTCCCCCCTCTCGGTCTGCCAGGCGACAGCATTTGTTGCATTTTTCAAACAGGAAGAGGGAGTTGAGTAAGACTCTGGTAGGGGGTGACTTGCTCTTTAACTCATTCACTGCCAGCCGTTTCCTGATCACTAACGGCCTTCGCTGCCAGCGTTTCTCACCGTTTTTACTGTTTTTTTAAGAGTCACAGAACGTTGCACGCTTGCATGATGTCGATGCCAAAACAACCAAAACAAAGCGGAGACTCACCTCTTACATCAGGAAGAAGCCGTGTGTTTCGAGCGTTATCCGTTCTTTCATAATCCGTTGTCGAATTGTGATCGGCAGATGCTTTTCCGGTTCGCGCCTCACTTTTTTTACAGGAACGGCCCAAAACGATCTCCAAACACATGGATATGTTGCTTCCTGATCATGTGATCTGTGACGTATGCGGATGAAGATCGGCTTCAGGGCTGAGATGTTTGTTCTCTCAGCGCGGGAGCTCGTTCCGATGCTCAAACAGTAAAAAAAAATGCAAATGATGACTTTAGTCGTCATTGGCAGTGAATGAGTTAAGAACATAATCTCCATTTTCACCCAGACAATTAGTGAAAATACCACAAAATGAACCCCTGTTGGTATTTATTTGTCTAATGTGATAATAAAACTATTAATGCCTGTTATTTAGCTCATTTTGATTTTTGTTGCATTTTTGATGGCCAGTAGTAGATGTTGCCAGCATTCAGGCTGCCTTATTAGTATTTTATCAGCATTTTTTCATATTTATTTGTAAATTTTCTTTCACTGCAGCTTACAGTGACAATGTGTATATATTCCCGATAGGCGATAGGGAGCAGTACTGATTTGTCTTTGCGTGAGACCTTACCAACGGGTGGCCATTAGGGTCAAAAATCACTGGGAGCACAACCTCCAGTAAAATGACAAGCACATCAGAGGTAAATGTGTAAAACAACGTCGAAGGTTTTGTAGCCATTTGTTACAAATCTGTAAATGCATCTTGTCCTCACGGGTTCCCGTAGAAAGAAACATGGCGTCACCCAGACACTTAGACCTACTCCCATGTATTTTAAACCTGATTTTTATGATTGTATGTTAAATAAAGTAGAAGGAGTCACCGCTCGTCTGGGAAAGGTGCTGGATCAAAAAGTGGAATAAATAAAATAAGAATCCGCACACTTCAATCTGCGATGTAGGAGTGTATTGGTCAAGCTTTCGGTCAGAGACCTTAATCATTGTGAAAATACAATTCCTGATGAAGGTCTCTGACTGAAAGCTTGACCAATAAACTCCTACATTGCAGATTGAAGTGTGCGGATTCTTATTTTGTTTATGATTAAATGTTACAAAGCTGTCACTATTTTTCAACAACTGGGCACAGTTTAATTCATTTTCAAAAACACTTTGATGGTTTATTTCTAGTAAAAACTACACATTGTCTCTTTAAATATAAAAGCATGCAGTTCATGATTTTAGGAGATTTCTCCTTAGACCATTCTACTGACAGTCAATGATGTCACTTAGTAATTTATGCACTAAAATGTGAGAACATCATACTTTAAGTATATACACATTTTACTAAGTTTAAACAAATGTGTTTTGTTTTAAACACAATCTCTCGCACTCCAGTAGGACTTATTGTGTCTATCAAATATCCATCTGCAGTTCACTCATTACACTTTAGAACTTATATCTTTCCCCTCTGTGTTTCTATCTGCCTCATTAGAGTTGCTCCAGGAGTGAGAACCACAGGTTACCATGGTGATCCTAATGAGCCACTGTCAAGAGCTCTAACATTTCTTCTCATCTTAAATCCCTGCAGAAGTTTCATAGTTTGTGGATGAAATGCCAAATAGACGTAGGTAATACAAGTAAAAGTTGAGTTACATCATAAATAAAAGGAAAATAAGCTTAAAATAGGTCTATAAAAAGTGACGTTCAAATAGAAAAATGTTGTCCAACATTAACCTGGTATGTATTAATTTGCGTCTCCTTTTCTGTGCGCTTTAATGATGCAGTGGAAGCTTGTGTGGTTTCATGGTGAGGCAGAAACAGATCGAGTCTGCTGATAAATGACATTTTTGCTTCACGTGAAATGTTTTTCCTCCGTCTATGGCCTTGATCAGCTCAGCGCCTCTCTGTATTTAGTCTGAAATAGATTTTCTGTGGGCTAAGCTGTGTCACGGTATGAGATTAATGGTGAAAACACCAACACACGTCGGCCCTGTCCTCCTGCATTGCATAACATAACATCGCGGGTCCAGCATGACCAGAGTGCAGCCTGATCGATTAATCGGTCAATCAGACACCACAGAAATCTCATTTGCAGACCAACCTGCTCTTTCCGCTTCTGCCAGCGGCCACACGGACTCTCCTCCAGGATCTCACTCTCATCCTCGCTCTCCTCCTCCTTCCCTTCCGAGCCCGATTTCCTCTCCGGGACGGACATCGTCATTTTACCGCCGTATGAGTCCAGATTTCCACTCCGGTTCCTCCTGCCTCCCTTCGTCTTCCTCTTGTCCCGTGTTGTGGAGGGGGAGGCGAGACGAGCGGTAGCGCAGAGGCAGCTGGCTGGCCACCCCCCTCCAGACTACACCAGCAGCTCTGACAGCCCCCCTCGGCTCTCAAAACGTCCAGCAGACAAATGAGTAAGCTGAGAACGTCGCGCACAGCTCTTCAATCGGCAGGAAACGCCCTCTAAATAAAAACTACAAGTGTGCACGTGAGGGTAACTCAGAAGTCTGTGGAAAAAATACATCCAAGCATGCAGGCAAAAGACGAAGCAGTTTTCTGTTTAAATCACTTAAACCCCATGATGGCGAAGGGTTAGGAAAAATAAATATCCCCCGAGCGTCCACTACGTACATTTACAGCCACAGGTAGCGAAGTAGTTACGGAGAAGACCGCATTCTTCCACCATTCTGCAGAATCCGCGCGAGCCTGCCAGGAGGAGCGGTACGCAGAGGGACTGAGCCAAGTACCGTAAAACACCTAATGTCTGCGCACAGCATCTGCTGCTGCGATTAGATGCTGTTAAAGCGCCACAGAATCATAGAGTTTCATTATGAAATATTTTAGACCAAGAAGCAAGGTTGTACAAGATAATACTTTAAAGAAAGAGATAAAAAAACGATTCAAATGTGTTATATGACATTATGCATCAAGATGCTCCTTCTTTACTTCATACAGTATTTTAATTCTTATTTCTTTTAGCTAATTGTGACAAATGAATTAATGTGATTACCTCATATTATTACACTAATATGTTGTTGTCTGAATTTGTTTGCTTCCCTTACTCAGTGCTTATCAAGCAGGAAAAAATTATGTTTATATTTTTCTAATACAGTTGCTGTAATGACACAAAACAGTCACACGGTGGCAACAGTTGACAAAAGTCAAAGATAAAAATGTTCAAAAAGCGTAAATGTGTGTTTTTTAAGCTAAATATTGCTATTGTTCTTACAATTAGTATATTAACATAATATATTGTACACACACACACACACACACACACACACACACACACACACACACACACACACACACACACACACACATATAAAAAAATAAAAATAATAAATTAAACCTTATTTATAACTAGAATTCTGTTTGCATTTCACATCTGTCCAAAAATTGTTATTTTACATTTTTGTCTAGAACAATCATACATTTATAGCCATTTTATGTAATGTTAACATATGCATCTCATTTTGACCTGTTTTGTCTCGTAAATAAACTCAAGATTCTAGGTGGAGAACTGCACAGAGAAAGCCTGGTTCTGAATCAGATTAGTGAAGCAGATGGTTCCTATGCTGCGAATAAAAACAGAAAACACTCTTTGTACATTAACCCTCTGGAGGCAGGCGTTGCAGATTTGCAACATTAAACCCCATCTACCTGGTTGCTCTACATATGCATTTCATGAGCATTTTTTAACTTAGAAGTACCCCTGAAGGACTTAGTCGTTTGTCCTTTTATCAGAACTTATTTTGAGCCTGAGAGGGTTAAGAAGCAAGATCAGAGATCTAAACCCAGGAGAAAAATCAGGGGAGGGGGTCAAAGATGACTTCAGGCTTGAAGCAAGGGTAAAAGGTCAACGCTAGAAGCTGCAAACCAGAACAGAGCTCATGTCAGAATGGTATTTTGTATTTGTTTGGTCTTGCTTGACTACCTTCAGTGGGCTCAAGTTACTCCACAAAAAGGGCCCCATTTTTGGGGAGAAACTGTTTGTAAAGGCTGTGCAGTTGAAAGTAGATCTGTGGTTTCAAATATTTAAAATATAAATGGTAAATAATTTCATGTTGATAAGATTTAAAAATGTGATATTTTTGTCTGTTTTGATAATAAATTCGAAGCCACAGATTTATACAACTACACACACACACACACACACACACACACACACACACACACACACACACACACATATATATATATATAACAGAAATGTATCTTTCATTAGGATTCCTGTAGATTATGTCATCTAAACAAATTAAATAAAACTGGATACCTTATCCTTAAAGAGCAAGTCAACCCCTACCAGAGTCTAACTCCACTCCCAATTCATGTTTGAAAAATGCAACAAATGCTGTTGCCTGGCAGACCGAGAAGGCAGAGCTGCTAACAAATACACACACACACACACACACAGGCTCATGACATTATTGTGACATCATAATGTACCAGTTTACATCATAGCATACCTCTTAGCCAATAGCGGTGGCAGATTTAAATTAAAATACAGTGCAGAGTTTTTACCTGACAACAGCACAACACTGCCAGTTTTAGGCAGAATATTTAAATTTTAACTAAGATGCACTGAAGTGCCAAATTATTCACTACACGTGTCTGCAGCACGATTAGACACTCGTTTATTTAGTTTATCAGCAAAAAAAAGTTTTTTGGGGGGTGACTTGCTCTTTAAGTACCAAAAATGTCCACAACAAGACAAAATGGAGAGAATTATCTTATTTTTTGCATTTCTATTCATTTGGTTCAGTAAGATTTAGTACATATACTGTACATAAATAATGATGTGAAGTAATGTCACCATTATGGTATTGATCCTGAAATGTAACAACGCTTAATATTCAATTAAAATATCCCCAATTTTTTTTGTTTAGCATTTTTATAATTATTTTTAAATCGGACATGTGCCGAAAAGATTTAGGGACTAATACATGCTCCACCGAGCCTTTGTCCTTCTGGTTTTACGGTTAAAGTTCTTAAAATAAAACAATGATTTAAATCCTGACTATTATGGCAAGTTGGTGAAATAAAAAGTGGATTGGCATTTCACAAAACACCATTTAGTTGGTGTCAATTTCACTAAATCTTTTCCATAAATGAGAGAATTCCTACAGAGATTAAATAAATTTGCAATGTGAAGGGGTCAAAGGTTATACCTACAGGCTAAAATCTAAAACTTGTTACAGATTTAAAGCTTGTGTCCGTTCGAGCCTCTCCAGGAAATATAAAGTACCCAGTCAACAGTAAGTATTGGATCGACGCATTTCTTATTCTGCAGCTTCCCAGTTAAAAACACAGCTATTGGTTATTATGTGAAATACACCAGGTTGTAAAGAGTGAAGGAAGGAAACTTCAGAGCTTGTTTGCATTGAACAAGGCTGCATCATGTTCAAATACTCACAGCTGATCTGGATGATGAGAGGCTAAAAAATTCAAAAGGAGATGAGAGGAGAGGAGTGGCGACAAAGAAAAGGAGAGATGCAAACTGCAAATAATGTGATATTCAACATTAATATATATTTTTTGTGAATTAACCTCCATAGAGTATGAATGAAACAATCAGTGCAGGCTAAAAGTTCAGGTCTAGTGACAGATCCAGTTTGTAGTAATCACCCTCTCTTTCTATTTTTAGCAGTTTACATTCACAGAGAGCCTGTGAGCGCAGCCCCTGTTCCTCCAAGCCTTTTCTCTCTGTTAATGAGATTTATCTTGGCACGAGGAGCCGAGCAGACAGTGGTGGTGCCTAGACAATCCACATAGGGCAGCAGCATGACAGCAACAACAAAAACAGGACCCACATCATCACGACGAGTCAACGTCACAACAGAGTGGAAAAAGTCAAATCGGGTCATTTAGGATTTTTTTAGAATCTGTGCACATTTTTTTAACACGTTCTGACAAATTTTCTTTTTTCTTGATATTTTTTGTTGTTTTCCCTGACGTTAGCATCTGCTTGATTTCTGCTAGTTAAATTATTCAGGAAGTTAGCTTAGCTCACAGACGTTAGCTCCTGCGAAAGGATCACTGCTGCTTTTCCCAGTCAAAGAAATGCTCCACCATTTATTATTTTATATGCACCTCATTAAATTTGCAAGGCTCATTTCAGCACAGATGTCTAAATACAAAATTTAATATTAAAAGCAAATGTAAGTCTAAGTTTAGAAATACTACAATTTCCCAGCTTTCACCCAGCTTTTAACTCATTCACTGCCATTGACGACAAAGGTTGTTATTTTAAATCCAACTGTTCACTGCCAATGACGGCTAAAGTCGTCATTAGCATTTTTTTACTGTGTGGGCATTGGAACGAGCCCCCGCACCGTGAGAACAAACATCTAAGCTCTAAAGCCGATCTTCATCCGCATACGTCACATGTCACGTGATCAGGAAGCAGAAAATCCATGTGTTAGTAGATCGTTTTGGGCCGCTGCTGTAAAAAAAAGTGAGGCGCGAACCGGAAAAGCTTCTGCCGATCACAATTCAACAACGGATTATGAAAGAACGGATAAAGCTCGAAACGCGCAGATTCTTCCTGATGTAAGAGGTGAGTTTACGCTTTGTTTTGGTTGTTTTGGCGTCAGCATCATCCTAGCGCGCAACGTTCTGTGACTCTTAAAAACGGTTAGAAACGCTGGCAGCAAAGGGCTTTACCGATCAGGAAACGGCTGGCAGCGAATGAGTTAAACACACCATGCATGCCTAAAGAGTCTCAGACCATTTGTGTATTTGTAAACTGATCTGTGCCAAAGTGTAGTTTTGTCCGTGCGTAGCGATTCATGAGTGTTTAATGGTATGTTTGTGTAGGAGCTGAAGTTGATCCCAAAAAAATAAACACAAGTTACAAATCAAAAGTTGCACAGACCTTTTGACTCTAATTTATCTCCATATAATACTCCATCTGCTTGCTTTAAGACCAGAAGTGGTTTGATACGAAGTTGCAATAATGGTCCTTTGCATAGTATTGCCCAATTTATCATTCTGCTCTTTTGAATATGTAATACAGTATTTACATTATTATTAATAATTATAGCATTTGATTCAATCGGCACAAAACAAAAAGTAGACCAACAGTTTTTTATTTCTGATTTGAAACGTACGTGCAAACTGTTAGATTATAGAAAACAGATTAAAGCTTTTGGTCATTCAGTGATCTTCCCTCACTTCATGCCTTTGGAATTGGCAGAGCTCCAGACCGTTGCATCTTTCTTTTGTATGATCAATTTGCCGTCATCGGTCAGCTGAAGGCGGCATCTGGAGCAGTTGGAGTCATGGGTGTTGGTTTGCCAACACGGTTTGTCCTGCTGGGTGTACATAACCAGGTTGCAGTCGTCCTGCATGATCAGCTGTGTGGCACCAGTTTTTTCTGTGTCTGAGGTCCACACAGGCTTCCAGCCATAGATGACAAAGTTCCCATCCTCCTGCAGAAACAAGTGGAATAGTTTGACTGTTTATAGAAACGTTACAGATAGGATGACTGAGGTAAACAGGCTTCAATACACTTTAAAAGAGACTAAATACATGTTTACCTGGAAAACTGCCTTCCACTGTCCGTTGTTGGACACGAGACTGTCTCCTCTGTGGAGTTCTTCCAGTCTTGATAAAAAGTTTCTGCTCATTTTTCTGAAAAAAGAAACAAAAGTTCATCTAATAGACTTGGCAGGTTGATAATCAAACTGTAGGAAAACAATCTGTTACTCACAGCTCTGATCGTCCAACAGCAGTCCGTCTACAGGGTGTGGCGCTCTTCAGAGTCGAGCCTTTTTATATTGTAGAAGGTGGAGGTGTGTGAGGTTGAGGTGAGGGGAACGCCCTATCATGTTCAGCTTTGCTGGAAAAATTCAAATAATTGACTCTCTGTAAATTCCTATTCTTTTATCTAGTAGTAACATGTTACATCAATTATTTGAAAGCAGTAAAATCCAGGAAACCTGCAGGGCAGATTGTTGAGAAAAAGAAGACTGAAACGCTGCACGAGCATTTTTTTTAGGTCTTTTATCGCATTCGAAAAGATTCAGTGAGTTGTCATTTTTAGTCACATCAACAAAAATTCCAAACGGTTCAGAACAATTTATAAAACATTATTTTAACTCCAAAACGGCAAGTCTCACAGATGATTCTCCATGGGGACCCCAAAGGGAAAAGCAGAATGAGAAAGAAGAAGCAGAAGGCAATTCTCAAAGAGATACCAGATTATTGCATCGCTCAGTTACCGTTATAAGATTGTTGTGATCTGCATTTCACCCAAACCACATCCCAAACTCCCGTTGCAGGAATGCAGCTTCAAACTTGCAGGAACCTGTTGCCAGGTGAAACCTGTTATTTCACTGCCAGACACATTTAGAAAAAAGTATGTTCTGTCGCAGAAGAATATTTCAAATTTGGACGTTATTGGTGCATTTCTGCACAAAAAGGCCACAGGGCTTTTGTTTGTTGTTCTTGAAGCTTCTCATTTAAGGAGCTTTCTCAAATAGAAATGAGTCTGTGGTTCAAGTTTAGCTTGAAGCTTGGAGTATTACAAGGATAACAGCTGGGGGAAGGAATTCTGCGTAACACAGCCTTTACTACAAAACTATAAATTGGATTGCGTTAGGTCAATGGCCAGAATAAAATGAGTGTTCATGTACTCCATTAAACACATGTTAAAATAATAATGCATTTAATTTGTAGGCACCATACCAACTTTATTTATAAAGCACATTTAAAAACGGCATGGCAGCCGACCAAAGTGCTGTACAGAATAAAAAGTAAAAACACAATATAAAACAATACACGGTCAACAATAAAATACACAACAAGGCAGATAATCACGGTCAATAAAAAGACACATAGTAAAATAATAAAAGTCAGGGATTTAAAAATGCTTGGTCGTAAAAGTGAGCCTTAAGTGGCGACTTGAACTGGAGGAGGGATGGTGCCAGCCTCGCTGAAAGAGGAAGAGCATTCCAGAGTGTCGGAGCAGCATGGACAAAAGCACGCTGCCCCCGCGTTTTGTGTTTCATTGTTGGAACGCGAAGTTGGAACCTTTCAAAACCCAAGGTCACCTCACAAAAACATGACAAAACTTACAGAAAAATAAGAATAAGATCATTTAAACAATAGAATTACAAAAAATATACTATCAGTTACAGAGTGGAGAGTTTGTGGACTAGACAGTGTAAGCCAGTTTGAACAGGTGAGTTTGGATTTGAAGGAGAGGAGGGAGTCTGTGTTTCGGATGTCAGGAGGAAGTGAGTTCCAGAGCCGAGGGGCAGAGCGACTAAAAGCTCTGTTTCCAACGGTGGTGAGACGAGCAGGAGGAACCACAAGGTGAATGGCAGAGGAAGATCTGAGGAAGCCAGATGGGGCAGCAACACGGATGAGATCAGAGAGGTAAGGAGGGGCGAGAGTGGATAGGTTTGTAAGTGAGAAGCAGGATTTTGAAAGAGATTCTGTGTTCAGTAGGTAACCAGTGAAGACGCTGAAGAACAGGGCTGATGTGATCTCTGGAGGGGGTACGAGTGATGATCCGTGCAGCAGCATTTTGGAGAAGTTGGAGCCGATGAAGGGATTTATGGGGGAGATCAAAAAGGAAAGCGTTACAGTTATCAGTCCTAGAAGTGACTAGGCTGTGTACGAGGATGGCTGTAGCAAGAGGAGTGAGAGAGGGGTGGAGTCAGTTGATGTTGCATAAATGAATGTAGGCTGAGCAAATGATGTTGTTGATGTGGGCTTGAATGATAGAGTGTTGTCAAGGATGGCACCAAGACTCTTTATATTAGGGAAGAAAGGATGGAGGAATTATCTATGTTGATTGATATGCTGTGAGATTTGTTCAGAGTGGAGGGTTTCTCTATGAGTAGAATTTCAGTTTTATTGCTGTTGAGTTTCAGGTAGTTTGATGAGAACCATGATTTTATCTCAAGGAGACAGCTGGACAGGGAGGCCGAAGGGAATCTGCGTATTTGCGAAAGATTTGGCCAAGTGGAAGAACGTAGATGATGAATAAGAGAGGTCCAAGGACAGAGCCCTGGGGGATACCAGCGGAAACAGCAACAGGGTGAGACGAAAAGGATTTTACTTGAACAGACTGGAAGCGGCCAGTGAGATAGGAGGCGAACCAGGCGAGAGCGGTGTGGGTGATACCAAGGGAAGCTAACCAGTTAAGAAGGGTTGAGTGAGAGATGGTGTCAAATGCTGCATATGCTACCCAAATGCTATGTATATATATATATATATATATATATATATATAGTTCATGTATTTCCCAAAATTTGTCAACATTAACATTTGTATCTAACATAGTGCCGGCACAGCAAAAGCTTTTGCCCTTAATGAAACTTTATCCTTCAAAGAGATATTATCCATGCACTTCAATGCTGGAGGAGCACCCTCTGCAGCAGGGGCAGCCCAGGTGATGCTACGCCAGGAATCTGCTCTTAATGTCTTAATTTATGAAGCATGAACATAAATCTTCAGCTACTGTTGGCAGCACACTGCTAAGAAAACACTCCATAAAGGAGGATCATAGCACACGAACACCAAAGCGACATCTAGTGTGTGGAGGTTGTAATTGCAACAACAGAAGAAGGTTTCAGCCATCTGGTCCTTCTGTTGTAGACTTCACCTAAACTCACTCTGGTTTTAGATATTATATGTTTGTGCTTTGTCATAAAGTAGTTCCAAGTTTAAAACTGTGCTGGTGATGATGGAAGCATCAGCAAAGCGGAAAGGCAGCAGAACACCTGCAACAGGTTCCTGAGCTTTAGTTGGTCTCTCAGTCAGTGGCACCTCCAAGGGGTTGCCTAGATAATTGTTACCCAACCCACTGGCCACACCCGAGGAGACCAAAGTTCTTTAATGAATCGTATACATGTTCACACAAATTATAAATTCATATTATTTAATCAGACATAAATGTAAAACCCAATAAAATATACAATTAAAGAATAAATAAATAATCTGATTTTTAAAAAATAAGTATATATGTTTCTCCTGCTCACCATTTTCAAAACAAAATTTTGAATCCCTAGTTTTTGGGGATGTTTTTCTGAAGAAAGTGTTCTAAAAAGTCTACAATAAATGTTAAAATAACATTCCAAATAACAGTTTGAAATGTCTTTTTCTGAAAAAAATTGTGTTCTTTAAATTTGAGGTAATTGTGTTGGATGCATGTTTTTAATGAAAATGAATAAAGGAGCATGCAATGCATCACCACAGGCTAAACTCTCCTAGGGTTGCCACTTGGACCAGTCTGGTGTGCCACCCCCAAAATTTTCTCTGGCTCCATCTGGCCACCCCTTTGAAAATTATCAGGGGGGCTCTAAGCTGAATTACTGAAGTATACTGACTTTTGCACCATATTCTAATTTTTCAAGTTTCACTTGTATAAAACCTAAAACCCACACAATATTAGAGTTTATTAGTCCATGTGAGCTGTTACGACATGGATGATTGTGTACATCAAATATGAATTTTGATACACGCACCATTTAAAGCAGATATTCACTGAAAACATCATAGTTGATGTTTTATATTCTCAGATTAAATTCAATACTTTGTTTACATTTTCAGCCTTGCGATAGCTGTTTTACTCCACTGGAGGGAGTCGAGGCGCCACCCATTTCCCTGTTTTAATCTTAAATATTTTTAATGTCAGCAGGCGGTTTGATCTGTTTACAGCTGCAGTTCAGATCAAATATTTAAAATAAACAGACACTTTGTTTTAATTGTCTTCATCCACATGAACACTATCAACTGTGCTTTGTTCTGTTGTATTAAACTACTTTTTATTCTGTTCCCTGTTTTTCAACAATTTAAACCAAACTGTCTGTGTGAGGGTATTATTGGTTAGGTCCACTGCCAGTTAAAGAGTCATTCTTTGCATTTTCAGGTCGGTAAGCACAGTGAAGCATCCCAAAAAGTCAGACGGCATGTAAGGAAAAAAGAAAGATCTGAATGAACCCTAAAATGGTCTGAGTGTTTTCTGTTTAAAGCAACGATGTTCTGGATACTGAACAGCATATAAATAAATAAAAAATGCTTTACTTTCATTCACACACACACACACACACACACACACACACACACACACACACACACACACACCACTGATGGTGATGTTGTAGTATGTTTCTTCCCACAGTATGTAAAGCAGGAGCTGGAGGTAACAACTAACATATACTTTTAAATATTTTCGGTAAAAGGTTTTTCCTATTGGCCTCCCTTTAAGAGTGATGCTGCTTTTCCAACTGAATCGCCAAATAAATATGAGCTCCAGGTAAGAAACTGCTATTTTTACCACAAGAATGTAAAGTAATCTGGTCTAACTTACTGTGCACGTTTTTATCTTTACAGAGAACGCTGAAATAAAAACACTTGAGCCAGAGGAATTATGGAAAACCATAACAGCTCCTGACATTTTTGCTTGAAGCTGTTTTGGCCATCTTAAAATTCTTCACATTACTGGGATTTCCTCAGTGTTCCAGCATGAGGCGTAGTGTTGATCGAGTGAAATTACACACCAAGAATATAAATCCTCATTTTCCAACAAGTTTTAGAGTCGTACTCAGTCAAACTAGCTCTCGATTCTTTTGGCATGATTTTTTTGTTTTTGCAAAGATGTGGGCTTCGAAGGCAAAAGAGCTACTATTATTTAAATTTTCTTTTAAACATCCTCGCTCCCATCTGGAAAACCTTAACCCTAAAACTCAACTTTGTGTAACAACAACAGTGCTAAATTTTTCTGAAAGAACACTGGAAAACAAACAGTGTTGACATATGTTTAGTCACCCAGAGGCGAAGTAGGGCAAAGGGGCAGCAGTTATTTAAAAACAACGTAATCTTTTTCTGCTTTCTATCCTTCCAAACTCTTCCTCTGTAACACCCCCAATCAGCTGATTCATCCTAAATGAACTGAATTACAACCACAGCTATGGCAGAGTTGTGCTCAAACACTTTCACATAAGTGCTTTTATAACCATTCTAAATTTTTTTCTGAGAAATTTTAAATGATTATTATGTTTTTTAAACTGAGGAACTTAAAAGGAGCCCAACTCATCCATAATTTCACCAAGATGGCACATGTCCCCGTGAGCCTACTTACAACGCGCCTGGGATCAGGCTGGCACACACATGTTTATGGTCCTCTCTGTGTGGGGAACTGTACTGAATAAATGTAAACTTCACTATAAAACAGTTTTAATCAGCCATAAAGCGACTCTTGATCAAGAGTGGCCAATCCATAACTTTCCTCTTCAGCTAAAAGAACCAACGACAAGCTGGATAAAATCTGTTGCTGCTCCAACTGCTGCAACGGTTCCTTTCAGAATAAAAGCTGAACCATCACGACCCAGTTTGGGTCTCACTAGATGCCAACAAAACCGTCGTGACCCGGAAGTATCTCAAAGACTGGTCTGGTCGGCAACCGCTGCTTTTCCTACCGGCTTCGGTTCCAGAGAGGGTCCAGCTGGACCTCGACATTCCTGATCTAACGGGGACTTCCAAAAGGGTATGTAGGCCGACGAAATGGCGTCGAATGTGTTTATGAATCTCCTAACCAAAGCTTAGCGCGAAGACATCACCTTCACTTCCCATCAGAACTAATCGTTTCTTCGGATTTGCTGGTTCTTAGCAACATTCCACACTACACCATTCTCCGTCTCATTCACCTTAGTTACACCATACATTTAGTGTTAAAGTTAGTCTAGTTTAATTTGTTTAGTAATAAATCTTTAAACTTCTAAACTTGACTCTCTCTTCTGTTGGCTCTGAGTGAATACGAAGCGGTTATCTAATCTCTGCAATAAAAAGTTCCAATCTTCTGGTTAAACAGTACCTACAGATCCATAAGGTTGATTTCATATTTCCTATGGAATCCTATGTCTTATGGCTTATTAAATAACATGAAATTTAACTCATTACATAAGTTATTTGTAACATTTCTTCCTACAGGTGTAGAGGTGGCGTGGATTTTCAACATTTACCATATAAAGCACAGGCTCCTAATGGCTGTGGAGAAGCCCCGGCTAGTGAATGCATGTTCTGATATTCAGGAGAGTCACAAGAAAATCAATAGTGAAGAAAAAAAATCTGTGAGCTTAACTTTCACATTAAACTACAACTGAAGCAGAAATCAGATTAAGCCTGCTAAACTGATCCTACGGATGAGAAGAACAAGCTGCAACTCAACATGAAGGGCCTTCTGCTGCTGTGTTTGGTGGGATGGCTCTATGACGAACAGGTAGAGAACATTATAAATCAAGTCTCGTTTAGCTTTTCGTATGTTTTATTATCATAGTTTTATTTTTCACTAAAATTTGATCAAAATGCGGTACCAAACTAATTTGAGATTAAAAATTATATTAATCTTTAATCAATCTTATCGATCTTATGTAGAATTAATTTTTCTCTGACATCACATTAACTACATCACTGATGCTGTGCAATGCTAATTATAGGTTCATTTAAAAGTTGGGCTTTTTCAGAAAGTGATAAAGAAGGTTTGGTAAATTTGACAACCAATTAGGTACTGTAACTGTGTTTAATTATTTTCACCATAAATATTCAGGTTTGTTCAGGAGTTTTATTTCCAATGGAAGGCCAAAACTCTACAAACAACCAAACCATGGTGAGTCGCCTCTGATGACACTTTGAGATATTTAAATCAACCTCGATCTGTATTTGAAATTAAACATTTGATTTTCATTTATTCAGTTTCATCTCCCAAAAAAATGTTTTTATTAGTTGAATTTTGTGCATTAAATTGTGTTTTACTTGTGTTTCTGGTGGTAAATGCAGTAAGAATTAACTGAAGAATAGGAAGATTATTTTTAATAACCTCACATCTGTGTGACGCAATGCTTATTTTTATTTTTATCTGGTCAGGAAAATGGAAACTTCCCTTCAGCCGAAGCACCTACTGAACCAGTGGTAGGAAACCTTTAAAACATCAAAATGTAGGCAATAAACTAACTGTTGGTGAGTTCCCGCTGCCTTAAACAATATGATAGATTCCACACAAACATGATTTAAAATGTTTAAAGTTATATTTTGATCTTTTGGGCAAACGCAGCTGGACTTTGACACTGATAAACAGCAGTGTTAAAATATTAATACAGCTCTTTAAAATTTGCTTCTAATAATGAATGACCCACACTTGTATAGCACCTCTCAGAGTAAGGACTCCAAAGCGCTTTACACTATAGTGCATCATTCATCCATTCACACACACATACACACACTGATGGTGATGAGCTACGATGTAGCCACAGCTGCCCTGGGGCGCACTGACAGAGGCGAGGCTGCCGAGCACAGGCGCCACCGGTCCCTCCGACCACCACCAGCAGGCAAGGTGGGTTAAGTGGCTTGCCCAAGGACACAACAGCAGAATTCTCTGTCCGGAGCTGGGATCGAACCTGCAACCTTCCGATTACTGGACAACCCGCTCAACCTGTTGAGCTGCCCCAATAAACCTGGTTTATTTCAACTATTTGAACCTTTATAAAGGTGATTTATTCAGATAATTCAGTGTGTGTGAGAAGAACAGGGTAAATGTCAGTCTTACGTGATGTTTTTATTCATCTGACTGTAGAAAGGTGTTGTGATTCCACTTGATTACGGGAATCTTCTGTTCCCTCTTAATCCAGATGAAGAGGCAACAAGGGAAACGGGGCGGGGGTAAGAAGCATTTATAAAATCAAGGATTACATGTGAGAAATCCTCTTGATGTTGAAAGTTTCAAACAGAATCTGATGGGAATCTTTGACAGAAGATTTTAAATAAATCTCTAATTCTAAACAGTACTTACAAATTTGTCACTAATGCCATTTATGTTTTGGACAAAAAAATAGAAATACCTAATAAAATCTGACATTTGTTTTTCATATTATTTTCTGTCTTCTGACTTGTTTATTTGTTTAAATATGAGTAGATTTTATGTTTATATCAATTTTTATTTTGCTTTTCTATTCTGTACTTAATGTACTTGAATTGTGTTGCGTTGTGAAGCACTTTGTGGTTTGATTCATGTTAAAGGTGCTTTACAATAAGGTTTATTTACTCATTTTTAGGAGGGAAAATGGCTAATAATTATTTTTATGAAACAGATCCAGTGTGATTTATTGTTCCAATAAACATCCACATAATTAGAATTTAAACTTTGTAAATTTAATAAGACGTCACTAAAGTGTTAAGCAGTCATCTTAAAAAAGGCTTTTAGGGGGTTTGCTGTAAACACTTCCTCTGTGAGCATAAGAGAATTGTTCTTTTGAACCATGTGATTAAAGAAACAAGTTACTACCACTTGTGAACAAGAACCCGAGATACTTAAAACTCCTCCACTTGGGGCAGGACCTCATCCCTGACCCGGAGAAGGCATTCTACCCTTTTCCGACTCATGACCATGGTCTCGGATTTAGAGGAGCTGATTCTCCTCCCAGCTGCTTCACACTTTGTTGCAAACTGCTCCAGTGAAAGCTGGAGACCACGTTCTGAAGAAGCCAACAGAACCACATCATCTGTAAAAAGCTGAGACCTGATCGTCAGGCCTCCAAAACGGATGCCCTCCACACCTTGGCTGCACCTAGAAATCCTGTCCACAAAGGTTATGAACAGAATCGGTGACAAAGGGCAGCCTTGGTGGAGTTCAACTCTCACTGGGACCAAGCTCGTCTTACTGCTGGCAATGTGGACCAGGCGGACACCGGTCATGCAGGGACCTAACAACAGCCTGTATTAAGGGGCCTGGTGCCCCATACTCCTAGAGGGCCCCCTGAAGAACACCTTCTCCAAGTCCATAAGACACATACATGTACCTTGGTTGGGCATTGGTGTAATTTATATATGTTGATGCTGTGTAAAATCAGTTATGTAAAATAAACTCAGTATTTTGAAACCGTGATTATTTCTGAGACTATAATCATAACACCAGATTTTCTAATCATTGCAACCCTAGAGGGAAAAAAAATCAGATTCAAACTCACATTAAACACATTCTCAAAATATTAACAGGGGTGTGTGTAAGAATTTACAAGTATTTTATTGGGATTCTTCATCTCAAATGCAGAAAATCAGATAAAATGTCAACCTAGAAAAAAACAGATTAAACACAAGTGTGAGAAAAGACTTTTATTTGTTAATAAGCTTGGTATAAGATCATTTGATTTCATTTTCCTCTTAAGAGTTGTAACTTTATTTATTTATCCGATGTGCGAAGACAAGAGGAAAGGACCGCCTACTCTGACGACATCAGACCACATTGGAATCAGGTATGTTGTATTTTAGTGCGAGGAACAGGACGACACAAGCCTTGAGTTCACTAATGAACAAGAACTTTTCTGGAAAATGACACTAGAAAACCTAGTTTTTTCACAAATGCTTTGGGTGGGGCTAGTCTCTATAATCACAGATCTGTGTCCACCTTAAACGTTTCATGGGGAGAGCATACATAGTACAGAAACCCAGTTTAGATTTCCAAGCATTACTTTCCATTTAATAATCACTTGTCACACTTCGCTCTGTTTGGTGGTGGTATGCATTCAGCGAAGGCTGGAACTTTCTGCAGAGCCGGCTTGCACACGTTTCATGTTCTACACAACTTCACCAAAGGCTGAGTTAGATAATTCTAAGGAAAAGCAACGATTCAAGAGAAGAAACACTTCTGCATTTACGTGACTACTTTACAGCAAACTAAGTTTTGAACTGAAAGCAGTCAAGAGAAGTGGTTCCTCTTCCCATCATTGTGATATCTGTGGCTACCTGATGGCAAACACAAGTAAATCTATCTGTTAGCCAAAGAGAATGCGTCTAATTACAAATAAGCTTTAATAATTCCTTTTCAGATGTATGAAGAGGAAATTATGGGCAGCAGAAATCAAACGGTGGATATGAAAGACGGTTATTAGTTGTAAGCATCTGGCAAACTACAACAACTCCATTCCTGCTCAGATTTTTATTTTTTTTACTTTTAAGTGATTTTCTGTTGGTGACATCAGATACAGGCACCAGCCAATCAGACAACATATCAGATGACAGCTTCTCTCCATTAGTAAGGCCACTTTATATAGAAATACTAATGACAAACACAACCCAGTGCTGCTTGTTAATGGATTTTTGCAGTGTCATCATCAACGTCTGAAAGAAAGCAACGCTTCAGGTGTCTAAATGAAAGAGCCTGAAGGCTGATGGGTATGTAAGAGGAAGGGGTAGGCTGCCGCCCCCTTTATCACCACAGCAAGAAATTAAAAGAAAAGCTCAGTCCACATGGTCACCACCAGCTATGTTGCTCAGGTACAATCCACATCCCCAAAGCAACAACTGCAACTCAAAAACACACCTCAAAACGACCACGTGCGATTGGGTTGTAGCCATCTTGCAAAAAAATAGATATTCTCACAGAAGTTTGTAAAATAATCTTGCCTAAAGTCATCTTTGATCCTCTGTGGCTTTGTTGGAGCACGTTGAAGTCCAGAGAGAAGATTTACTCAACAGCAGCTCTGAGAACGATCCACGCAGGACGACGATGCCTCCACTTGCTGCTGCTGCGTCGTTGGTTAGTATTTACTTTGCCGATCCCGTTTCAGTTGCGCCCCCCCCCCCCCTCTCTCTCTCTTTTTGTCAGCCCCTTCACATGCAGTCCTCTACTTTTGCCAACCAGATGTGTTTTTTGGATGTGTTAATTAAAGGGAGTGTCACTGCAGGGGTACTGTGTGTGATAGATGTGTGTGTGTGAGTGATGCTGGCAGGAAGAGCTCGGTTAGGACTGCAGTCCACACAGCTGGAGTTCGACTTCCTTAAAGGCGCCGAGCAGGACCGTGCTGGAGGGGGCCAGGGGACGGCGGGGAGCAGCTTTACTTGTCCCCCAGGATGGCGTACTGGTTGTCCAGCTGCAGTTGCTGCATGGAAGCACCGCTGGTCTCTTCTCTGCCACGATTTTTGTGTTTTACAACTTCAAAGGTCTTCTCTATTTCTCTGTCTCTGAAACACAAATATGAATCACATCAAAGCTGCAACAGAACACATCTCAAAGGCACGCCGAGCAAAGTATTCCCACTGCGTGTCGGCTTACTTGCGTGTCTCGACGTGCTTGGCGGTGGACAGTAAAGAGGGGAACTGTGTGTCACTGTAGATCTCAGGAGGCCCCTGGGTGGGCCCTCGTCTACTGGGAGTGAGTCGAGCTCCTGGAGGTCGATACACTCCAGCGGGCTTCGACTCGGGCACTTCTAATTCCTCTGTGAGGCAATTAGACAGAAAATAAATGATGATTTAATTCCTGTCCGCATCAAAAATCCTGAATTTAGTTAAAGAAATAAACCGAGTACTGAAACTGATCGACTCACCCACAGGTGAAGCAGCAGGAGGAGGCGCAGCACCACCAGACTTGTTCCAGGGACCAGATATTTTGTCTCCACTAACCAGAATAATCTCTCCGTCCTCTCCTACCTCCTCCTTCTCATACTCCTCATCCTCCTTTTCATCCCTACAAACAACAACCATTCGCAGCAGATTTATTTAAGTGTTTACTTTTAAAGAAAAGCCTATTTAAACGCTGAGCACTTTGTTACAAATCAATAACAGGACAAAGAGATGCTTCTCATTCCAGAGGAGGCTCAAACACCGTCGTACTGTAGCAGAAATCATCTCATTTAACCAAAGATCGGTTTCTTCTCTCCGCACAACCCAGAGCTCAAGGACAGTTCTCCTAAAGCAGCCAGCCAGGATTTATCTGTCCTCTTCTGCCCTCTGGTGAAGGATCTACAGATCACATGAGCCAATTTTATTTATTTTTAATTGCAGCGTTGTAGTTGCATAATTAATTACAACAAATGACTTTATAGTTGTTAGATTAACCGATAAAAATATTGCTCTAGCCATTATTTCATGATTTAAAGGGTTAATCCAGTCATTAAAAAAACGACGATTTCTATAATTTTAAGATGTTTGTACTTTTGTTCCACATGTTTCGAGTAGTTTCGCTATTAAATGCCGACTGGCTTCCGGTCGGTAACAAGATGGCGCCTGTGCTTGGCTTAGCCGCAGTCACCGGCCACCTTTTCTCCACTAACCTCCTCTTTTCCACCTTGCTCCTGTCTGCGATCCTCTTCGGTAGTGTCCCTGCTACCATCTCCTGTGATGGCCAGACACTTTTGTCCTTCCGTTCGTTCACGATCGCCCAAGATGCACCGAGGACGTACCTTCCTGTTTGTTTATCTGAGTGGCGCACTGGCCCGGAACCAAACAACAATCCCAACCTGTGAGCCTCCTGTGATGTTTATCCGGTCCAGGGAAAACGTCGGCGGAAAAGAGGTAAACGAGCAGGAATCCAGGTGAGAATAAGACTTCTCTTAAAGAGTGGTTTATCTAGTACACATTGGCGTGCTCTTCTAGGTTCTCTTCCTTTGTTTGGCGACTTGGGCGCCACTTCCGCATTCCCGCCAGACGCGGTTTCTCCGTCCAAGCTCACACCTGCTTAGACTCTATCAAAACCTGGATGGCTGGGAGCTTTCTACAGCTGAATGAAGATAAGACTGAGATCCTCATCTGTGCCCCAGACAAGCTGGTTCCCAAAGTCAGAGACTCTCTTGGTCAGCTTGCTTCTCACACCAAACCTTCTGTCAAGAATCTTGGTGTGACCTTTGACCCAGCTCTCACCCTGGATTCTCATGTCAGTTCTCTTGTTCGCTCTTCCTTCTTCCATCTCAGGAACATTGCTAAGCTGAGTCCCATTCTGTCCCGCTCTGAACTTGAGACTGTTCTCCACACCTTCATCTCCTCACTCTTAGACTACTGCAACTCTTTTTTCACGTGTCTGAGCAGAACCTCCCTGAACCGTCTGCAGGTGGTTCAGAACGCCTGTGCTCGGCTTCTGACCAAGTCCTCCAAACACACCCACATCACCCCGCTTCTCCTCCAGCTTCACTGGCTGCCAGTCAACTTCAGGGTTCATTTCAAGATCCTGGTTCTGGTCTATAAGGCCTTACATGGACAAGCACCATCTTACATTGGTGATCTTCTTAGTCCCTACACCTCCAGCAGGTCCCTGAGGTCCAGTGATCAAAGCCTACTGGTTGTGCAGCGCACCAGGCTTAAGACCAAAGGTGACAGATCATTTGCTGCTGTGGCCCCCAGACTCTGGAACTCTCTCCCCCTGAGCCTGAGATCAGTGGACTCAGTGGTCTCCTTTAAAAAGCAGCTGAAAACTCACCTGTTCAGGCTGGCTTTTGTATGACCTTCTTCACCACTCTCTCTTTATTCTGCTCTTCCCACCTGTTCCACATTCCTCAGGATCCACTGATTTCCCTTTTTCCTGTTCACTCTCTCTCTTTCTTAACATTTTTAAATCACAATTGCCTATTTTTGCTCATTTTAAATATATTTTTAAACATTTTCTAAATGCTTTTTTAAATTTTTTGTTTTTGTGAAGCGCCTCGTGATTTTTATCTTGAAAGGTGCTATAGAAATGATATTTTCTTCTTCTTCTAAATCAATTTAATTGTTTTAAAATCTTGTTTCCTGTCTGGATTACTTCCTTTTCTGTTCTGTTTAATGTTCATTCTGAAAAGAGAAAAATCATAATTCGTAGGAAAAAAAGCGATCGTATGAGACCTATGTACCAACACCGATTTGCACATACAGTCTAATTTATTTCTAACAAAGCTCATTTTTAAGATCACACCACAAAGTAGATCTTCTGATTTTTACTATCTTTAAAGTGACAATGTGTAGTTTTTCCCATTAATCTCTGGAAATATCCATCGAAATGTTGTTGTAAATGAATTAAATGATGCAATGTTGTTGAAAATTATCGGCAGTTTCACAAAATTGACCATAAAAATTTGGTCTAAAATACATGGGAGTGGGTCTAAGGCCCAATCTCTACTCGCACTGCACACTTCAGCAAAGTGCACTTGGAGAAACTGCGCTGAAAGGCTTCGAGTGCGTAGTACACAAGTGGGCAAATAATTGCCGAATTGAGACAGGGAGCATTGCGTCATCGATCGCAACGCATGCCGGGATGCTGGTCGCTGTGATACTTTTTTCAAAAACCTTTATTAACAACTTTTAAACAAACAGCCAAACAGTAATTTGAAATCAATTTACATTTATTGCTGCTTTGTCTAAAAGTTTTAGCGCATCAACTAATCATCCTAGAATTAATTTCATTACAAAATGCATATTTTCAGAAAAAAAAACTTGAGCCTTTTCTCCTGCAGCAATGACTTGTGGGTAATACCCTTGCCAGAGGTCCGCATCGCTGCAGACTTGGGTGAAGTGCAGATTAAGGGTGCAATGGGGGCGTGGTCAACTTCCGCACTTGAGAATCGGGAGACCCTACGCACTCGCACCCTGGCCGGGAACGCACAATTGAAGGGTGCAAGTGCAAGTATTAGGAATGGGCTTAAGTCTCTGGGCAACGCCATATTAGATGCCATGTTTCCTTCTACGGAAGCCCGTGGGGATAAAATCTATTTGCTGATTTGTAACAAATGGTTACAAAACTTTCACCATTAATAATTGTTGTTATACACATTTACCTCTTCACTCATTACCAGTGATGAAATGGAACCTGCTGTTCTTGTCACTTTGCTGGAGGTTGCACTCCCAGGGGTTTTTGACCCTAATGGCCATCCGTTGGTAAGGTCTTACTTGAACACAAAAATAATGCTTGCTTGCAATGATTAAGGTATCTACTGCCCCCTATTGCTAGGGAAAATACACACTGTCACTTTAATGTAATCTTAACGCATTATGATTTTTTTTTCAAGAGACAGCTAGTTTTCAGATCTGTGGATTTGACAAAAATGAGTTGAAAATATCTGTGATAATAAAAAGCAGATTTTGCTTTTATTGTGCAAAAATGTAGAAAGTAACAGTTTTCAGTAGTCAGACGGAGTAGAGCAATGCTCACCATCTGTTTGCACTTGTTTTTTTTTAACCTTTTATAACAATTAAACCCATTTTAACTCCACTGTCGCATTTCTTATGTTGCCCCCTCCTTCACATTTTAACACCCCTTGTCAGGGACATAACATACACAATGTGTTTCTAAGTACAGCAGATATGAAAAGCTCCAACAGTGGAATATGATCTATGTGTAATACTACACACACTAGCAGCTTCTGTAAAACTACATGTGGCTGTCATTAGGTGCAGATGCTGGGCAGGGCTAAATCAGGCAAAATAATGTTTTGTTCTCACGTTATCTGCAGCGCCTGGAGCCGAAGCCCACTGTAGTCCACTTCTTTCTGCTCAAACTCCTTCCACTCCTCATCCTCCTAGAAAGTTAAATAAATTACTCCATGCACATCTATAGTAAAACATCACAAGTAGGTTTAAGAAGGGAACATCAACATTTTCAATGTTCAACAAAACTGCTTCAGCATTTTAATAACGCAAGCATAACTGACTCCTTTAATATACAAACCACAGTTGTTATTAGAGGTAAAGCGATATACCGGGCTGATATTTACAGTTTTATTAATACATCGGTCTATTTGTCCCTAGTAAAGCTGATTTAAAATCAGGCACATCCACAGGCTGCCTGTTGCTGAATTTACTTTATATGTATTTTTTCATTCACCAATAACATACGTATAATAAATACTCAAAATTAAATTAATTTAGGTCTATAATTTTAACAGAGTGCTTAAAGTTAAACACTGATTCAGCTTCAGAAATTTTGTGCATCAACTGTTGTTATTTTTGACACTTTAGCATAAAAACAAGGTGGAAAACGTCTAGATATCGGCCATGAAAATCGGCACACATCGGCTATATCTTCTGCATATTGGCATTGGTATCGATAAGAGAAAAACCAATATCGGTGGACCTCTAGATGTTGTTAATATTAAAAGAAAAAGTACAAGTTTAAAGTGTTACAGCTTGGCCTTCATAGCCAGCCACAAAACAGCCAGGATTCGGAAGTTCCTACTATAAATATACATAAAACTAAATTATGTCATCTGAATTTTTAATGGAGAGGCTTTAGGAGATGGTGTACTAAATACAAGTATGAATCAGTGTTTAAAATGGGTGTCATTTCAATTTATGCAACCTGTCACATTGTGTGCCACTAGCAACCATATGTTAGCCTCTAACCGGCGTTTAATCTCACTTAAACCCAATTTAAGTTGTTACATCTAACCATAAAACGCCACAAATACACTCATACGCACTGATTCAAACCAGGAAACAAAATCCAACACCGGCAATAGGTTACCGACGCTGATGAGGCAAAAAGTTACCTTAGAGTTAGCATCGGTTACCTTTTCAAGTTGAGCATCTTGGTTTTCGCTTTTTGTCGATTTCTCCTTCTCTTTCTTTGTCTTCTTCACCACAACCGACGTGGTTGTCCCGGCGGCGGGTTCCTTCCCCTTCCCTTTCTCTTTCTTCTTCTTTTTGTCGCGCTTGGCAAAGAAATCGTCCAGACTCTTCTCTGCAGGAACATCCGCCATTTTCAAAGAGCAACGTTAACGAGCGTTAGTTAGTCGGCTAACCGAGCAATGACAAATAAGAATTTCCGCTCTCGGTGAGTCAGGACAGCTGTTCAGGCGAGAAGAAACAATTAGATTACTCCTATTTCTAACTGTATAACGTTTAAAAGAGCTTGATTAAAAGCGTACGCCCCGGTTCTCCGTCTGAATCGTTGGCTATCCTGTCAACCATGCCATGCAGGGGATAGTCGACAAACCTCTACCTTCACCCGGAAGCACTTCCACTCCGAACCGGATGTGTTCACCGATTTTTGCTCCCCCCATTTTTTAAAATAACTTTTATTAAACAGGTTTCAGATAAATAAATAAATGTATGAGTCAGTATTAACCAGAGTTTTCTTAAACCAACTTATTACTAACAAAAGAAAATAATAAACATGAAAAAAATTTAAATACATAACATCACATTTCGAAATGATTACATTTACAAATATTGTTATCTTACTTTGAATTCCCTCATTTTTGAATATTAATTTGTAATTTAGACTTTTTCTCAACCTTTTTAATTTTCAGATAGGTGCTATGTGTTTTATGAACTAGTCTACTGAAATTAAGCCTAAACATGGTATTTTTAAATCAATTGTTACATTTTGAAATATGTTTTTACATTTAGTAGATTTGATTTTCTTAATTCAGTTCAATGTTTTCCAAGAACTACAAACTAGAAATGGCTAAAAGACCAATTTGCACAGCTAAAGCTGCATTATTTACTGTCAAACCCTGTGTGAAATTGTCACTTAACAAAATGAACTAAATAAATCTATGGATGTTATTCCATCAATCCTAACTAAATTTTTTTTATATATTTAAAAAAATAGATGTTAAAAAACTACATTAAAAAGTGTTTAAAATGTAAAAATACATTTTAAAAATGACATATCTACTTTTATTAAATGAAATAACTGCTAATGATACATTTGAACAGATTAAAAAATATGAATGAATCTCCTCCTCAAAAGCAAAAGTTCAAACACATTATTTAGCTACATTTACCTAACAAGTGGTAATTGTTGTATTCAGCCCCGATTGACCCAGAGTTGTTCTGTGATCGTTTTGACTTGTTATGTACGTCAGTCTCGGATAAGATTGCTCCCCTCACCATTGTCAAGTCTCTGAAAAAATCTGAACGTTGGACTTTAATGGAAACAAGACGCAATAGACACGAAGGCTGGAGGGCTGAAAGAGCTGTTTAGGTCCAAGCTAGCTTGTTACAATGAGGCAGCTAAGAGGGCTAGGATGAATTATTTTTCTAATATTATAATCGCTTCAGCCTCAGGTGAAGAGCGGGTACTCTTTATAACTCTGAGTTCAGCACTTGCCCCAGGGGGGGAGGTTAGCACTGTGGATGGCTCAGTTGACAGCTGTGAGATCTTCTCCAGTTTTTTTCTGAAGAAACTCACAACTGCAAGAGCCTCTCTAACATTTTATCCACTATCCTCCCCCCCTGGCTCAATCCCATCTATCAGCAACATTTGACTCATTTACAGCAGTTTCTGTGCTTGATGTGCTGAAACTGGTCTCCAGAACGAAACCCTCAGGCTCCTTGTATGAGATCTTGCCTGCCTGGTTCTTTAAAGAGGTTTCTCCTGTGCTAGTTCCATGTCCAACATAAACAGCAGCTTCAATCATGGCCTTGTGCCTCACAACTTTAAACATGTGGTGGTGAAGCCCCTGCTCACGAAAGCAGCCTTGGACCCAGGAGTTATTTCCAGTTACAGGTTAATCTCGCACCTTCCTTTCTGTTCTAAGATCCTGGAGAAGGTGGTTTATGATCAGCTCTCTATTTTCAGTCACCCATGAAATCCTAGAACCGCATCAGTCTGGATTCAGAGCTGGGCATAGCACTGAAACTGCCTTCTTAAAGGTGCTTAATGATGTGTTCCTGGCAACTGATGTTGGGGAGTAGTAGTGTTACTGCTTATTCACCTGACTGCAGCCTTCGATACCGTGGACCATCAGGTCCTGCTGGAGTGCCTAGATCAGTGTGTGGGGATTTCAGGAGCAGCTCTGAGTTGGATGAAGTCCTACCAGACTGGTAGAACTAGGAGTGTTCCTACAGGTAATCACTCATCATCTCAGAACATACCAGTCAAGTTTTGGATTTGAAAATAAGGGAAATTTTACAGCACCCGCAGCGAGCCAACCCACCACCACAACCGAGCTCTAGTATCTCTTACATTGTAAGGTAGGTGTACAAAAAATCTATAATAACCACTTTTCAACCACTTACTACAATTCGGTGATCAGAATCTGATCAGCCTACCTTTGTTGACATTGAAATGTTGTGAACATTCTGTTATAATACAGCCTAAATGAAAACACAAAAGGGTAAATGAAGCATATTTATTGATTTTACATTTTTCAGTTTATATACAAGTCAACACATTACTTCCTGTTTATTTCACATTGCTTGTCTTTAAGTGAAACATTTACATTTTATTTTCATTACACATTTTCTTTAGATGCATCATGTTCACTCATGTGGCTCTCTGACATTCACTAATGACTTATCATACAAATATGTTGCAGATTTTGCATTCTTTAACACTTTTTTGGAAGGAGTGTATTTGTAGGCTGGGCCAGAGTGGTTTTATTTTATTTTACATCACAGTAAAGCACAAACAGTGCTGTTGTCTAATGACTCCTATTCTCTGTAACAATCTTCCTCACCATACTAAACACCCTTTCAGAACTGGCATTGCTGTGGGGAATGCAGAGTAAAGCCTTCATTAATCTTGGCAGCTCACTGAACCTCACATCCTTCCCTAGCAGGCCCCAGAATCTGTCAATGTTGTCTTCTTGGGGGAGTTGCTTGCCATCTGTCACCTGGTAGTCAATGAGTTCCTCTCTCAGCCCATCTTCACTCAGGCTCAACTGAGGGAACATGGCCCCTAGCCTTTCCACTGTAAAATAAAGAAAGTGTTGCAAATCTAAACCATGCAATATTTCATCAGTTCAATCATTCTATCGATGGAGAACTGCCCTAACATCTACCTGTCCCTGGAGGAATGTCGAGGCGAGCAGCAGGGTCCAGCACTTTCAAGTCCCTCAGGAGTGGATGGTCAAGGGGAAAGGAGGAGAACATCTTCTGAAGCGCTACTTCATAGAATCTTCTCATAGATCTACAACAGCGTAAGAGTAAAAAACTGCATTAGTGGCAGCATTTTAGGCACAGTACACACATATCTCATACTGATGACGACCATTATAAAACAGCTGGGTAATATACTCACTGAAAGATGTTCTTCTCAGTGGACATGGGAAGCTCTACGCTTTTCATGAAGGCCTTTGTGTCTGCTCCAATAAAGAACTCTTCATCAGCCAACTGATGTCCTTGTCCATACTCCACCTCCCTGAGAGGAATATCTACGATGGCCCTGGCTGGTATGAGGTAGCCCAGGATCCTCCTGATCAGCCTGCACATTTCCTCTTCAAGTCTGTCAATTTTTACTCCCTCTGACTGTAGAAAATATCATGGGTCACAATAAAATAACAGTGAATTAAGAATGCTACAATTAGCAAAATCACATTTAATTATAATTATTATTTACACATACATTCAATAACATTGACACCCACCTGGAAGGCAATATTAAAATCAGATAAAGGTTTAAGGACAGCAGTGAGGAACATGAAGTAGATCTTCATGACTGGGTCACGCAGATGGCTGGCTAAATCATGTATTTTGGCCTCTCCACCTCCTCATGACTGTTAAAGTAGGCCTAGAGTACATAGGGAAACAGGGTGGCAATAGTGAAATAAAAGGAAAACATAGAATAGTAAACTGTATGTATCTGCTGGAGTTACCATCCTTACCTGCAGTGCGTCCCACTGGTTCAACACTCTCTGGACACAGGTTAACAGACTCAGCCATCGGGTGCTGCAGTACCTGAGGAGCTTCCGGTGGTCTGAATCGGTAAAATCTACAAGTTCTTTATATATTTCACATCTTTTTGCACTGTAATATAGACAATTATTTAGTTAGTGGCTGGAAATGTATGTGTATGTCTGAAGAGTATCAACTGCAGGCCTATTTATTTGTATGAATTTACCTTTTATCAAAGTGAGTGTATATCCCAACCAGGATGTCTTCCACTGGTACCTGTGCTGCTTTGATGGCACAGCCAGTGGCCAGTTGTGTTAGGTGGCAGATGCAACCAAGGTCCTGGACGCGGGGCTGGCTGGTCTTCAGTCTGCTGATAACAGAGTTGTGTCTGCCTTTCATGACACTGGCGTTATCAGAGTTAAAGGCTATCAGGTTCTCCCATGGAATTCCTCTTTTTCTATTGGAAACAGGAAAAAAATGCCATAAAATGTCTTACACTAAACGTAAGGTTATAATTAAATGCAAATTACTACACACGTCAACAACACAGTGTAGCTCCCCAACCTTAATGCTTCACTCAGCTTTTCATACAGATTTTCTGCATTTCCCACATTGCATATGGGCATCTCCATAAATTTTGTAGCGACCTGCAGAGTGGCCTCATCGTAGAGTCTGGTCAGGATGACGAATTCTTTGTCCGTTTTTCTTTTGTTCGACTCGTCACACATCAATGAAAAGGGCTGCGATCGGCATGTTCTAGCCAACTCATCATCTAGCTCTGCTGCTATGGCACCTGTTGAGTGAGTGCCCAGTAACGTTAGCTAACAATTTGCCACCAATATGCCTGCTGGACATGATTATGAACATGTATACGCTTTTATAATATTTATACTTAATTTGAATCAACTTACCTTTGATGAGTTGCGTAGATTTGGTTTTTCCCGCAGAATATTTTCATGCAATAGCATAGTCCGGGAACATCTCAGCTACACACTTGTTGAAGTCGTCACAGAAGGTGAAAGAAACATTGTTTTTGGCACACAGCATTGCCATTTTAACCCCCGCATTTATGACCTGGTCAGCCTCTGTGGTATTCCTAGTCACAAATGCAGACATCGCCTGGGCATGTTTCTGTGCTTGTAGCCAGCGCTTGTGCTTGGTTGATTTCTCATGCTGACTGACATCATTCCTTCCCCCGTGGGAGACACTAAAGTCGCAACTGCAAATCTTACAAAAAGTGTGACTTTGTCCCATCCTGCTCTTCTTTAGAAAAGTAAATTTGCTGTCCCATTTTTCTAGATATTTACACGATTTCTTTGATTTTTTGGCAGGAATGCCTTCTTCACTTCCATCCATCTTCGCTCTCCTTTGTTGTTCCTGTTATGTTCCCGCTGTCT